GAAGGAGCAGAATATCTCCTCTTTCACAGTACTGTGTATTTACCTGAGCGCTCCGACAGTAGCTGACGGGTTGAAGATGATCTCCGCTCCGTTCATGCTGAACATGAACCAGTTGAGAGGGTGATGGCGGCCGTAGCAGATATTCACGGCGATGTTCCCGAACTGCGTCTGAAACACCGTGTGTCCGCTGTCGCCCTCCATGTAGTACGTGGACTGAGGGGGAAAAGAAACACAGTCAACATTACATTTATTTGCATAAGTCCCAGCACGTTTTTTTTTACATACAAGAAACTTGCTTCGGGGATTATTGAAGAAAATAGTACATAAATATATTTTAAAATGCTCTGTAAAAAGGTTAAATACATCTGAGTTCAATTGAAAGCTGTATAGAAGAGAAGTGCAATACAAATAATAAAACTATGAACACTATATATCCATTAAAATTAAAGCTTTTAAAAAAGAATTAACAATAAAAATAAGAAAAATTATATAAAATATGTAAAATATATATGAAATAAAGATATTAGCTTTTGTATGGGTAATATACAGTATAGTGTATGTATATATGTATATAGCTAATATAAAATACAAACATTAACATATTTGGAAAATACTATCAAATTAAGTACAATATATGTCTGAATTAAAACACATTTGAATAAAAAATAAGAAAAATATGTAAATGTCATATCTATAAAATACTATAAAAATGTGTAAAAGAAATCTAAATTCCCACACTGACCTCATTAAAGTCTCCGATCCTGGGAATGTGGTTCTTCCGGGTCTTTCCCAGGACGCTCCCGGTGTTAGAGATCACCACGGCGGTGTTCCACAGGGTGCTGTGCCGAGCATCTCGCTCCAGAATCGGAGAAATAATCACCATGTTGTATTTCTTGGCCAGCTAGAGACAGAAAGCACAGTGTTAATATCATTTAAAAGGTTCATAAATAATACTAAATATAAATATACTAATGGAGCTCAGCGCAAGTTCAACCAGGAAGACCGTCTTTACTCATTCATTTACTATGTCCATGTTACTACTCTCTCTCCTCTCAATAAGTGATCGGGGGCGTCACTCCCCAGCTTAACCAATCACTTCGCTCTATTCTCACAAGCCTATCATAGCGCTCCGCTAACACTTTTAAATCTGCTCTCCCCTCTGACAGCTGTCATTTCAGGTGACTGGACGCAACACTCCTCCACCCCTTTTCACCTCCTGTCCCTCTGAATCCAGGGTCAAGCTAAGCCACTCCCCTTCAGACCGAACCCAACTATCCATTCACCACCACCAGGGTCAAGCTAAGCCCCTCCCCTTCAGACCGAACCCAACTATCCATTCACCACCACCAGGGTCAAGTCCCCAGGGGGGTTTCATCGGATCGGTTCTCCCCTCCCGAATGATACTCCCGCACAACGGGGCCTAATCGCCAAAACTCCATTACATTCATTTGTGTATTCCTGGCAATAAATATGTATTCTTATCAAAACCGTCTCTCCTGATTATGAATGGCTGAGGCCGAGGTAAACTACCATATGATATAGGTGGATATTTATGACTTTTTTCTTTTAATTCATTTTAATAGTTGTGGTGACTAATGTAATGTCATATAGAGCAATTTCTTTTACTTTATTTTTTATTAAATGAATGTATTATTGTGAAAGCTGCCTTTTTAAATAAAGTACTTCACTCTCTCTGTCTATGAACAGTTTTATTTCATACTATATTATGACATCTTAATGACTTTTCATCAAATATTAGTGGGACTTTTTATGACTTTCTTTGACATGATTTTCCAAGACTTTCAATTGTTTTAACAAAATATTTTGACTTTTTCTGACATTTTCTGACATACTTTACCTTGACTTTTTACATTATTTTTACACCATATTATGACTTGTTATGGCATTTAATGACTTATGACATACTATACTATGATGTTCTTTAACATAGTTTATTATACATTTTTAAACCATAGATTTATGACATAATATACTATGACTATGATGCACATGCTACCCTGCAGTATATGTATATGTACTTATACATATGTACTTTTATGTATGATAAAAGATAAGCTCCTCCTTTACCAGCTGCAACATTAAAGTGGTTAATCCAATAATTCACCCATATTTTAAATCCAATATTGTGATATATATTATTCTAAAATGTGCAGAATGAGTACTTTTGGAGCACATTTGAATGCTAATACTTATAGGTTTTTTACTAAGAGAGATTTTGAATGCAGGACTTTAACTGGAGAAGCAAAAAACACATTTGTGCTGATATAGACAATAAATATATCTGATGTACAGTAATCCCAAATACTTGTTTTTAAGCAGGTTTTTAATTGACAGGGAGATAGAGATGGATGTGATGAAGCAAAGGTCAATGGTCCATTCTGCTACCTTCAGATCGCTTTTCTTTAAGAGTAATTCCACTAAAACATCTAAATATATTAATATGAACCTGAAAATGAGCAGAATGCAGGATTTAACTTGTAAGTATTTCTTATATACTTGTATTGCAGTAATGATTGACCTCTTGGCAGAATCGCGTGGTGTTTCCTTCCTCTGCAGACTCTGCAAACTCCGTCCACGGCTCCTTCTCTCGGGTGCAGAAAGCGAAGGGCATGGCTGTGGAGAGGAATCACTCTGAGTGTGTTTCTGTAGATGAAGTGTAACGTGTGGCTGTGATTTAATAAAGAAACTCACTCCAGGTCTCCTGAAAGCAGACGATGTTCACACCACACATGGCCGCCACTTCCACCATCTCCCCCACACGGCTGTGCATCGCAGTGATCTGAGGAGGAGGACATAGTCATACAGTTCTTTATTAGTCTTTCCATTTTTTGGAATCAACTTTTTATGATATTTGTCACATGAAAATGATTTTTTATCACATAATATATAAATTGTATAAATATATATTTTTACGAGGTAATATACTATGACTTTTTTATGATGTATTTAACCGGAGTTGGGAGAAGTATTCAAGTATTGTACTTGAGTAAAAGTAGAAGTACTCAGATCTTCTACTTGAGTAAAAGTAGAAGTACTCAGATCTTGTACTTCAGTAAAAGTAGAAGTACTCAGATCTTGTACTTGAATACAATTAGAAGTACCAGAGTGTAAGAATACTCTGTTACACATACTTTTAGGACATACTATACCATGACATTATCCATTATACTCTATCTAAATTATGTAAAGTCTCTCAGTGTTTAGTAAACTCTAACTGGAAACCACGTCAGGTGTGTGTTAATAACGCGTGTGTGTGATCCAGACCTGGTCCAGGATGGGGGCGTCAGTGGGCAGCACGATCTGGTTCTGGATCAGTCCGACCCGGGTCCTCCTGGCCGGCCTCAGCTGCTCCGGAGACGCTTCAAACCCAAAGCCCTGCAGCTCAAAGTCCCGCTCTGAGGCGGCGCTGACAGCAGCTGCCGGCAGATCCAACTTCCTGTCAGAGAGGAGAGTTTTGGGAATGTGGACACAATGGACACACAGTAATAACATGTATTTCAGGTGGGTCTCAGGTCTTTACATTGATATTTTGGGGGGTTTAATGAGGTAATTATCTACATTAATCACCATTTAATCTCATGCTGCAGCTTTTTTCCCTGGGAATGACTATTACTGCACTATAATGACAATATAATAATTATTGCATGTATATATTTTCTGTGATTAGGCTACTGATTATTAAACTGTCCTTTTGAGCTTTTCTTAGTACATTATGTTAATGGTGTGTCTGTTGTTTGTGGTTGTGACGTTTTTGCTTCCTTATATGAGTGAGTACTGTATGTGAAAATAATACAAACTATAAAATAACTTTTTATATAATTGTCATAAAATATTATGACATTTAATGATTTTTTAAATATATTTTTACAACATTTTATACTATGACATTCTTTTATTATTTCTTTATGAGATATTAAACAATTACTTTTGCATTTTTTACATATAACATGACTCTTATGACTTTTTTATGGAAGTTATACTCTGACTTTTTAATGAACTTTAATATAAAAACTATACTATTGCCTTTTTTTTAATAATTTTGTACGACATATTTTTGCTATTACGTTTGTTATAAAATACTAAAATGTGTCATTTTTAAAATATATGTATTACATATTCTGGACCAGGGTGCTTTCCAGCATCATTTGTAACCAAAAAAGCCTAAAACACAACATTATTTTAACATACATGTGAGGTTCACCTGGACATAGAAACTGTAAGTTATTATGTGCATAGGTTAAAGGTTGTTCAGCTCTGACAGAAGTTGAACTAACCAAAGTCCACTGACTGAGCAGAATAATAATTTACCAAGAAGGAAAACATAGAACAGAAAAAGCATGGTAAGAAAAAGAAAAAGAAAGATCCATATTCCTGGACCCCAACTCACTTCGTCTCCTTCCCGAATAAGATGCGTTTCACCTCGGACAGCTCGGCCTCGGGCAGGTGGGTCTCCAGACATTTCTCCAGGGACTCAAACTCACAGGAGGACATTTCGGAGACTGTAAGGGGGGCAGTTTCTGCGGGTTTTGTGGAAGTTTCTGCGGGTTAGCAGCTCGTGCAGCTCGGTGCTGTTTCTGCTCCTCTCGTTAGTGTGTTTTCTCGCAGTCTGACGCAGGATTTGGTTTAGCAGAAGCTACAGTGTGTCCAGAGCTTTATATATACAGTCTATGGTCCAGAGGCTGTCAGTGGATGTTTGTCAGTAATTAACCCCAGACCCCCCCCCCCCCTCCCTCCCAGCTGTGGGGAAAGCCAGGCATTTATTGAAGGGGGCGACCTCCGGGGCATGAAGCCAATGCGGAAGAGACTTTAAAACAGCGTGGCTTTCTGAAATAAATACAACAATCTAAGAGGAACAGATGCATACCGAAGACAGGACTAAACATCAAAAACTGACATTAAAGTGTACAATAAATTAAAACACAATAAGGTAAATACAGTTGTGTTCTTCAAATATGCTAAACCGTTTTATTGCATTTTTTTTGTTTTTAAATAAACTTTATTTATCAGTTTTTGCATGAACATTTTGTACAATTGCATTATGTAAAAAGTAAACACATGAATTCCCTTTATATATAAAAAACATCACACATTGCAAAACACTATACCATAAAACACATAACAAAATAAACAACAATCCAACAGGGAATACGTAATTTTACTCAAGTGCAGGTACACATTTGAGGTACTTGAATATTTTCACTTTATTCTACTTTATACTTCTACTCGTCTACATGTCAGAGCAAATATTGTAATTTTTTCTCCACTATGTGTCTTTGATAGCTTCATAAAATATGTAAATCACCTCATAATTATATTGTATTAAAGGTACAACTACCAAGCAGTGTAAGTATAAACTCCACATTCAATAATTCATCATTAATGATAATAAAATAGTATAAAATATATTATTCTAAAATGGGTAATTATGCATAATCTGTATTTTTTTGTACTTAAAGTATATTTTGATGCAGGACTCTTACTTTTTACGCTGTAGTATAGCTAGTTTTACAAAACGTTCAACATGTGAGTACTTCTTCCACCTCTGACTTTAATAAACTATTTGATTTGTTTGTTCTTGTTGTTTGCAGAGATGTGTTTGCTCCTCTGCGTCCGTCCTCTCGTCTTCTTCTCTTGCTCCTGATCGGGGTTAGACAGTTTCCTCAGCAGCTCTACAAAAAAAGAAGTTAACATTAAATTATATTTTAATGTTGACCAACAGGAGGCTTTAGAGAGCCTTTTTTAATATATAAATCTGCTGGTTTGTCACCTGTTATCTCTGGATGTCTGCAGGGGTTCAGGAGAGAAACATATTTCTGACCTGCAGCATCATCCTCTCCTGGAGAAAATATATCATATATTTTAATTAGTAGATAACATCTGGATACATTTGTAGGATATTCTCCCCATACATCAATATGAAATATATATATATATTTAATGTAGAATACCTCTAGTATAGCAGCAATACAGTAGTTTAACACTATACAAAAACAAATGAAAACATATTTATATTAATTTTTTAATGAAAGAGACACCATTTTTACATTACCCATTTCTCTTAATATATTATTAATAATTATTTACTTTTATTATAATTGATTATATTAATTTTAATATTTGATTAGATACATTTTTGGTTTGTTTTGGACGAAGGCATACCCTAAAGCTCCTATATAAGCAAAAACAATGGATTAATAACTGATGTAATAATGTAACTCACAAAATAAAAGGAAAGTTTTGTCCCTTATTGACATTATGTTTAAGCATTAGATCCACTTACTGCACACTCTCAGCAGGAAGTAGTGTTGTCTCTCCGTCAGCACGCTGCTGGCCAGAGCGACACTTTGCTGCTTCGCCTCCAAATCCATCACTTTCCCACCGCCGTCCATCAGCTCCACGCACTCTGCACGAGGGAACGCATGATGTTACTATTACAAGACATGACGGAGGCCCTGAGAGGCAAATGAGCTTCAAAGGCAGGCATCATGCTATTTTTAGGCAATAGCATAGGTCTCAGATATATAAAAAAAATATATAAAACATGTCTATGAAGTGTTTTGCTCAAAATACCAAACAGATCACCCATTCTAGCCATGCTTCATATCCCTCTATTTCACTTCCTGTTTCAAAAGTGCTGATTTGGGGTGTGAAGCTTTAAAAAATAAAAAAGGAGGGGGCTGAGCTCATGCGGGACCCTGCAGCTACTGTCTAAACTAAATGCTGCCGTGATGAAACGCCATATCATGGATTATCAAGGATTATTTCTGAAACAGTATGGAGCTCAAAGGCTTTCTCTCTTGCCGGTTATACCACAAGGTGAGTTCCTTTTTATTTCCTGCTTCTTCACACACATGCTCTCCAGTACAGGTTAGCTCTGAGTGTTAGCGATGCTAATGTAAACACCGACCATATTACGTCCAAAGCAGTCGCGCATTGTTTCTGATAGCAACTTTCTGATAGGGCCGTGGGTCCACATTTCAGATATTACGTCATATCGGACGCAAATCTGGATCAGCTCCGTTGTTCCCCGTTTTTAGAGATTTGGGTACAGAGGAAAAGAGAGAGGGTTTTATTTTCTGACGCTGCGTGAGTTCCCTGACACACCGGGGACACATCTTTATGTATAAAAGACATCAAAAAGTGCATTTTGCATGATAGGTCCCCTTTTTTTTTTTAAAGTATCTGTAAAACATGTAAAAAACTTTTTCTGCTATGAGGTCATTTTTGTAAACACAAACACTTTTTTCAAATCTTTGCTGTTGTTAAAAATGTGATATGTTATACTTTAAATTCAGATATACTCGTTTTAAAGTCATTATAATAACCATTACTAACATTTTTGTTTATTACCTTTGAAATCCAGACCGCATCGCTGCTTTAAATGATGGATGAAGTTTATCAGCTTACAGTTGAGATTTAATATCTCCATCCTGCTGTCTGGCAAGAAAATAAGATTGTTAAAAATAAGAAAGATAAAAAAAACACCATTTCACATTTACATAATCACATGAGGATAATTGGACTTATTTTTTAACACTTGAAAAGCTACCAGAATATAAAACAAAGAGGATCTTTACTAACCTCCGTGCAGGATAGTGACGAACATGTTCTGCTCCTGACTCAGTGCACCTCGACCAACACTGACTCTACTCACACTGACTCACATGTGTTTACTACAGAGAGCCCCAGAAACAGGACACAAAGAGAAACAAAAGAGGCCCTTAAATCTATTTTGGTGCACACTTTGTGACGTAGAGATGGTACACACACACACACACACACGTCTTTTGCATCCTCCCCCTCTTCTTCTCCTTTCAAAGCCTTTTAAACGAGGGGTTACTGTTGCTTGTATCCATGGCATCTACACACACACACACACACACACACACACACACACACACACACACACACACACACACACACACACACACACACACACACACACACACACACACACACACACACACACACACACACACACACACACACACACACACACACACACACACACACACACACACACACACACACACACACACACACACACACAGGATGATTGTTTCCATGTCGTGGAATACATACTGTTGTGTGTTCAGGTTCATTGAGTGAAGAGGTATAGACGACTTCATTTCAACAATTCTTCCCTTGTAAAAGATGATCAACCAAACAAACAAAAGATAGAACCAACATATTTAAAGTATACAACCACGAGCTACTTATAGATTAGCTTAGCATAAACACTGAAAACAGGTGTACAAATGACCAGCCATGAAATAGGCACATTCATCTCTTTAAAACTGTACAATTAGTCTGGGTTTTCTACAGATTTAAGAATGAGAAATGTTATTTAATAGGGAGCTAACACACTTAAAAGAAGCTTTGAAAAGAAGTGCTCTGCACCCTTTAGCCTGAACCCACAGGGGGATTGCAATATAAACTGGGAAAATAAAGAAGGCCTAACATAGTTTGACTGTCTAAATAACCCATTTCCCATAATGCTCTCTGGCTATAGACATCCCTATCTGATATGATGTATGACCTCGCCTGGGGAAACGCCTGCAGACACTCCTTCAGCTTCTGAGTAGAGACTGTGTCACTGTGGACATTAATGACGGCAAATACAGTAAGGACACTTTCAAAAAATGGAAAAGGAATTTATTTAAAGGCGGGACTTTGTGCTCGCCTGCATGTGACAAAACATTCAGCAGAGAAACAAAAAAAAGGCTTGAGTCATGGGTTTGAGTTTAAAGGGATATTTCACCAATAAAAGGATCATCGTGTATTAATAACTCTTTGCTCACATGCCTCAACTCTTACCAAAGCATACACACACAGAGACCATTCTTGATGAATTGAAGTAGAGTGAGTAAATCCTAAACAAATGCATTTTCAGTAAAACGTTACTAATTAAAGAGGACATTTTCAGCTTCATATCAGTATGTAGTGTCTCTACTGGGACATGTCTCCATGCTTTAATGTTCAAAAAGCTCTTTATTTTCTCATACTGCAGCACCTCTTTTCACCCTCTGTCTGAAACCAGAGCCCAGTCTGTTCTGATTGGTTAGCTGGCCGGCTCTGTTGTGATTAGTCAACCACTAAGAGATGTCCCGCCCCTTAGCCTATCACGTACAATGTGTTGGAGCGCTAGCCAATAGAAGCACAGGTGTTATATAGTGATGTCACTATGTTCTTGAAGTTACTTTACTTCAATTCATCAAGACTTTTCTCTGTTTTTCAATTCTTCATTTACCGTGGAGGCAAATGTAAGGAAACACCGGGTGAGTCGTTGATTGGATGTGAAGTATTCCTTTAAATATAATCATTAACAATCCACTCATCAAACTCAGAAGTCAACAACATGAGAAATAACTTATAATAAGTCACAGTGTCACACTTTTAGCAGACCCAAACACAGAGTTAGGAATATATTACCGAGTTTGGGGCCTTGACTTTAACACATTATTATGAAACACACGTGAACAACTTCAGTCTAAAAAAAGACATGTTCCGACATGAAGATAAACGTACGACAGATAAATACACGCAGATGTGGGTGAAGCTGGATTTCAGTGTGAGAGAAAGGGATGTGAAAAAGGTTTTTGCAAACGAGCGTGAACGTTGCTTCGCAGATTGAAGTCTGTGCACCACGCAAATGATGGTTCATTAAGAAAATAATGTAGAGCTGCAACTAATTCATCATTTAATAGTTTAGCAAATGTTGAAAATACAAAAAGAAATTCATCCTAGTTTCTCAAAATCAAAGATGACGTCTGTAAATGTCTTGTTTTGTAAGTGCAATACAGAAACATGTTCACTTTAATGTGATATAAACAGAGTACGGCGGGGAATGTGGATTCAAAAAAGATTCATTTGTAAATGAAAAGTGAAACTCAACCTTGTGAACACGAAGGCAACAACACGTTAAAGGCAACAAACAAACGACATTTCAACAACAGTGCAGAGACTTCATTTTCTTAAATAACTTCCCCTTCTTGGGAGCTGAATAAAAACAAGCTGGAATAAACTGTGAGGGGACGAGACTGTGTTTGGTTTTATTAAGGATTTTCTTGATGTGTATAGTTCATCACCTAAAGTCTTGTGAAGTATTTTAACTTTGCACGTCTGTCTGGCTTTTACCGATCCACAATCCACGTTACAGTGTTTGCCATTTGGCTGTCTTTGTTTTCCTGTAAAGACACAATTCATTCACGTTTGTAGCGTCCGTAATGGCGAGTCTCCTCACACAACCTGAACCTCTCTCCTAAACAATCCTCCAGTTTTGTGTCTTTTCATCTTCTTTTAGGCAAACAGGTTCATACGCCAATAACTGGACTGGAGAGTGGAGCAAAACTGGATTCGCATTAGGGGCTTTTGCTGAACGTACAGGACCCTCGTGGACGGGACTAATATCGTGATTTGCATCATCAGGAACGTGTCCGCAACGTTTAAAATGGCCTTTGCTCCTGTCCTGTCATACGCACTACGCCCACTAAATGTCGTTGTTTCTTCTCGTACCCCTTTTTTTCTTGGTGATGAATAGATGACAGTAGGAGCTGGAGCTTCTGACCCACACCTTTGAGGCTGATGAATTCAATCATCCGATAACCGGGTTTTTCTGCATGCGTCATGACATGTTCGCCAGCTCTATAAAGCAACACTTCCTCTCCTGTTCGTCGTACAGCGATTCCGCCTGTGCCGACCTCGCCTCCTCTTCCACTTCCTGTCCTGCGCTGTCGTGCTCTTGCTCTGCATACTGAAGAGGATGATGGCCTCCAGGGATGTGTCTGAGGGCCTGCAGTGGACAGGGTCCCAATTTAGGACAATGGGAGATAATGACTGATAAAGGAGGCCGAGAAACCGCCACCAAACCTCCCCCGACAGTCGAGATGTGAGAGGAACATCTGCAGGAGCTTTCACAGCTGCTGTTGCTGCTGCTGTGTTCAGTACAAGCGTCAAAGTGTATCCCGTCCGCTTTGAGTCTCACGGAGTTGCGTCTGCTGCTGCCGCTCTCAAAGGTTTCCTGCTTTCGAAGGATGTGTCGGCGGATAATCCTGCGAAAGGTTTGCCTGAACTCCCGGATTCGATAGGCGTAGATAAAAGGGTTGATGACGGAGTTGGCGTGGGAAAGGATAATCGCCACGAACATGATCCACTGTGGAGGAGCAGCGCACTCCGGACAGAAGAGCGTGAAACAGTTTATGATGTGTAGAGGAAGCCAGCAGACGGCGAAAAGTCCTACGATGATCGCTAGAGACTTCGCCGCCTGGACTTCTTTCTGCAGCGTGGAGCGAGACTTCCCTCCGTGCACCGCCTTCACCTCCATGAATTTGAGTTGGTGGCGAGCGGCCATGAAGATGCACAGGTAGATCCCCAGCATCAGCAGCAAGGGGATGAGCACGCAGGCTAAGAAGTTGAAGTAGACCATGTACTCCATGACCACCACGTCCTCAAACAGGCACGACATGAGGCCTGGGGGGCAAAAGGAGCTGTTGCTGCTGTCGGGGGGTTTGTGCCATCCCATCATGGGGGTCAGGCCGATGATGATGGATAACACCCAGCAGATGGTGATGATGCCCTGAGCGCGCTGCCCCGTCACCAAGCTGTTGTACCTGGGGAGGAAGATGATAGAAACATCAAATATAATATAAGAATGCTTTTTTTCCCCCTAAGGACATGCAGCCATACTTTAAAGAGTCCTCTCCTGCTGATGTTCAGGTGTATATCAGTATGTAGTGTCTCTACTTTAAAGAGTCCTCTCCTGCTGATGTTCAGGTGTATATCAGTATGTAGTGTCTCTACTTTAAAGAGTCCTCTCCAGCTGATGTTCAGGTGTATATCAGTATGTAGTCTCTCTACTTTAAAGAGTCCTCTCCTGCTGATGTTCAGGTGTATATCAGTATGTAGTGTCTCTACTTTAAAGAGTCCTCTCCTGGTGATGTTCAGGTGTATATCAGTATGTAGTGTCTCTACTTTAAAGAGTCCTCTCCTGCTGATGTTCAGGTGTATATCAGTATGTAGTGTCTCTACTTTAAAGAGTCCTCTCCTGCTGATGTTCAGGTGTATATCAGTATGTAGTGTCTCTACTTTAAAGAGTCCTCTCCTGCTGATGTTCAGGTGTATATCAGTATGTAGTGTCTCTACTTTAAAGAGTCCTCTCCTGCTGATGTTCAGGTGTATATCAGTATGTAGTGTCTCTACTTTAAAGAGTCCTCTCCTGCTGATGTTCAGGTGTATATCAGTATGTAGTGTCTCTACTTTAAAGAGTCCTCTCCTGCTGATGTTCAGGTGTATATCAGTATGTAGTGTCTCTACTTTAAAGAGTCCTCTCCTGCTGATGTTCAAGTGTATATCAGTATGTAGTGTCTCAACTTTAAAGAGTCCTCTCCTGCTGATGTTCAGGTGTATATCAGTATGTAGTGTCTCTACTTTAAAGAGTCCTCTCCTGCTGATGTTCAGGTGTATATCAGTATGTAGTGTCTCTACTTTAAAGAGTCCTCTCTTGCTGATGTTCAGGTGTATATCAGTATGTAGTGTCTCTACTTTAAAGAGTCCTCTCCTGCTGATGTTCAGGTGTATATCAGTATGTAGTGTCTCTACTTTAAAGAGTCCTCTCCTGCTGATGTTCAGGTGTATATCAGTATGTAGTGTCTCTACTTTAAAGAGTCCTCTCCTGCTGATGTTCAGGTGTATATCAGTATGTAGTGTCTCTACTTTAAAGAGTCCTCTCCTGCTGATGTTCAGGTGTATATCAGTATGTAGTGTCTCTACTTTAAAGAGTTCTCTCCTGCTGATGTTCAGGTGTATATCAGTATGTAGTGTCTCTACTGGGACATGTCTCCATGCTTTAATGTTCAAAAAGCTCTTTATTTTTCTCATACAGCCTCTCTTTTCACCCTCTGTCTGAAACCAGGTGTGTGGGAGAGAAACTCCCTCTGGAGGGAACACAGGGAGTTTAACTGTTAGGATGTTAGATTTTGTTCACCAAGCATACTTAAAGGGGCCTAGTTTATGGTTTCACATGAGACACAAATTAAAGTCTGAAAATCCTGTTTGTTTAACCAATCCACCGCCCTTCCCTTTCTCCCGTTTATAATACTCCACCAGACTTTCTATTTCAAACCATGTTATGATTACAACCACTAGAGCGCGCCGTTTAGCTACAAACGGAAATATGGTACATCTGCCTTTATAGCCTTTAAAACAACACCTGACTTTGGCGATTAATAAAAGTGTGATTTTCCATTTGATCTAAAAAGCACAAACCTTTCCGATTAGCTATTTTACCAAAGCTTGACCATGTCAGATTTTGAGACGTTACAATCAATAGAACAAATATTGTGGCTTTGTACGTCTTTGGGCCGTAACGAGTTGATAATATTCAGTATTCGGTATATATGAGGTTTCCCTGGACTTGTACTCAGATCAGCTGACGGCTCGGTGGAAGCATTTCTCATGGCGGAAGTAAACGAATAAACAAACAACGGTCCTGCAGGCCGCAGAGGAAGGTCTATTCTGGGGAGGCCTGTGTGGGAGAGCAGCTGAGATATTTGGCTTGTTTCTATCACATTCTTCAGATGTTAAAGTGCAGAGGTTAATGTTGCAACAACAAGTTTTGGAAAACAAATTTTCCTTATTAAAGGGCCCATGTCATGGCCATTTCCACTGATCATAATTACATTGTTGAGGTATACTAAAATAGATTTATACTGTGCAATTTTCCAAACTCACATTGGTTTCGCATACAGCATCTCTGTCAAGCATGTGTATTCAGCAGTATTCACTTTCTCCACTAAACGACTCGTTGGAGCTCTTGCCCCCCCCTCCCTGTGAGCCTAGTGTGCTCCGATTGGTCAGCTCGTTCTGATTAGTCAACCACCAGAGAGGCTGCGCCCATGTCAGTGCTTTTCCCGGCTGCTCTCAGCGTAACATCAGTCTTATCATGGCGTCGGTACAGCGGTATATTTTATATACATATATATTTTTAACTGTTGTTATAGAAGAGTGTGACGGCCTCAGGGCCTTTGTCTTACGGTGGGGTGGAGCTGAAGAGGGTAATCAGCGCGATCACGGACACCTCCGTAGCCGGTGCTATTAATCCCAGCGGCCCGGAGTCTCTCTCCAAAGCGGCTGCAGAAGGACGAACTGAGCGACCCTCTCCCCTCGACCACCTGTCTCTGCATTTACTACAATAAATGTGCCGTGGTTTTGTAAACTCGTGTATGTCTCCTTGCCTTTCCGTTGTGGCCTACGAGCTACTCTCATAACAAAGAGTAAGTTTTTTTACCCGTTATAAACTACTACTGTTTGATGAGAAATCAAATCATGGTTTGCTATATATGAATTCAGGGAAGAAAGGATAGGCCTACTAAGTATTTCCATTAAACTTTATTTTTAGAAATGTACAAAATGAACATAAATATACATATATACACGGTATATCATCCATTCCTCCTCCTCGCATCTTGCCTGCGCACAGTCGGTGCGGTGCCTTTTAGCACCCTCAGTAGTAGTAGAATCCCTTCCCCGTCATGGATTGTCCGCCAGGATCTGGCTGGACGAAATCAAATGCAAATCACAAAATATTAGAGAAACTTAGTTGTTTTAGATTCGTTAGTAGTAGTTGTGTAATGAACAGCTTGCCTGCTAATATGCTAACCTAGCTTTGTTTACCTTGGTAGCTAACACGATATGAACGTTAGCTTGGAGGAAAGGCAACTATAATGCAGTGTAATAAAACTACTATGAACAAAAGCTAGTGGTTCATATTAGGCTAGCAATAACGTGTTTATAATTGCAATCGTATACGGGTATTCTGCTACGTTCGGTCATACAATGTAACTTGCATGAATACATTGTTTTGCGCTAGCATACAGCTAGCCTCGTTAGCTACATGCAGTATATGTACGGTCACAATGTACGGTAAATCACAGTACAGTATACTGTATGAGTATTCCGTGTGTGTGACTGCAGACATTCTCCTGCCATGACAAACATGTAAGGCCATCTGCTGACATTGTAGTTGATATATTTAAACGCTAGCAACGTAGCATCACAAAAATGTTTTTCTGACCGAAACTAGCTCTAGCTCCGTGTGTTAGATCGCTACGCCAGCTATAATGTAATTACGTTTCGCGACTGACCGGCAAATCACCCGGAGTATACTGTCAATAGGTATTTTGTGTGTGAATGCAGACATTCTCCTGCTATGAGATACATGTATGCAAGGCCATCTGCTGATATTAGAGTTGATATATGGAAACTCTAGCAACTTAGTTAGCACTGTGTCAATGGCTTAGCAGTCCAACACAGTTTACACATTTAAACAGTCTTGTTTGATAAATACACAAATAACAATGCAAACTTACAGGTTGTATACCCAGATCTTCCCCTGCTCCAAACGGTCCAAACAAGCTGTGCATATCCGGCCTCAAACTGGGCAATGTTTTGGAAGCTTTCGTCTGTGAAATGCCGGTTCTTCGAACCTCTGGAGGAGGAACACGACGCTGCTGGTGTGGCCATAGCTCTTCGGGATTGGTCCATTTCGTTCCGGGTACCGCATGACATCAGGCGGTACCCGGAACTAAATGGAAGACTCAAATGGGCAGTGACGTATCTCCAACGAGGCGTTTTGGGGAGGTATTTTCTGTGTTAGAGTTTTACTCGCTACAGGGTGTACTTTGAGGGTTTTGACTCTGCACACCGTTTACATGCATAAAAACCTTCATAACACACAAGGGGACGGGTAATAACCGGAAAAGCATGACATGGGAGCTTTAAATGTCAATTTTATATTTAAATATTGCTTCTTTTATTTGTATCTCATTAAATGTCCATATGTCTTTTACTAATTCATTATTTTTATTTATTTCTCTTCATATTTCCAAATGTTGTATTAACTTATCTCTTCTTTTTTTAATCGAAACATTTCAAAATGTAGTTTTTTTTGTTAGTGTGCATTACATTATAATGTTATAATCTAGTAAGGGAAGCATGCTTGCTTAAAGAAATTCAAAAGAGTGGCGCTTCCCATAATGGTGGTCGGCTATAAAAGGTCCCAATGAGCACACAGTAAAAAAAGAACACCCACAAAGCATGGGAGTTGATTAACCCTCCTGTTGTGTTCGTTTCCCCCCCTCACTTTGGTGTTCAAATTTGATCGTACCTGCTTTAACTGCTATTACATTAACACAAAAACCATTAATCATCACCACATGTCATTTAACACCCTTTCAAACTGTACATATTGTATCAGACTACTGGTATACATGAACAACTGCAGTAAATATACAAAGAATAGACACTGAACATGTATTGCATGTATCAAATGGTTCGGTGTGTGTGCGTGTGCGTGCGTGCGTGCGTGTGTGTATGTGTGTGTGTGTGTGTGTGGATGTGTGTTTTATCTGATCTGGATGGTTACACCATGGGTGTTACAAACTTGACTAAATCACCCAAAATTCAATGAAAGTGGTGATCAGCAATTGTATATGTTCAAATGACCCGAACACAACAGGAGGGTTAAAGAGGTCATATTCTGCTCATCTTCAGGTTCATACAGGGGAAACACAGGAATATTAGCCTTTGTAGACCATTTACATGCACTAAAAACACACATTAGGAGAGGGAAAACCCAGAATAGAGCCTCTTTAAGATCTGAGTTAATGTGATGAGCTGAAAGGTTAAATATCTGGACACAAACCGTCTAATTTGATATCTTAATCTAGGCCGACGTTCAACATAAGCAGTTTAATAAGCGCTGTGTTTCACCAGTTAAAATATGAAGTAAGATCACACAGGGGGTTTTGGGGGGGGGGGGGGGGGGGGGGGGGGGGGGCGGGTCACAGTCTGTGTAAGTAATTAGAGCGCCGCTCGTTGGATTCCCCCTGGAGGGAAGCGGCCTCGTGGGAGACGCCATTTCTGGAAACACTTAATCTGCCAAGGGTTTCTGGATCAAATGTCAAGTCTCGATACTGATAAATAAAAATGAAATATGTGGTTTTATTGTGAGACCTGAGCTGAGAAAGTGTGCCATGACATTTGTATGATTATTTTTTAACTATCTATCTACTTATTTATTTATATTTTGACATTTATCTATTTACTTGTTTGTTTTGTTTTTTTAAATATGTCCACATTTTGAAATTCCTCAATTTCTTTGCTTATTTAAAATGTATTTGTCTTTATAAGGGAAGCGGGTGGCACAGTGGACTAGTGCGTTGGTGTTCGGATCAGGGGAGCACAGGTTCAAACCCCACTGCAGTCAGCATGTCGTTGTGTCCCTGAGACACTTCACCCCAAATTGCTCCTGTGGGGATTGCCCACAGTATTGAGTATGTAAGTCGCTTTGGATAAAAGCGTCTAACAAGTAACATGTAATGTATTTGATTACACTCCCATGTCTCCACCCCCTCTCCACTGACCTGAGTGATATCTTGATGGCGATGTAGCGGTCCATGGCGATGGCCAGCAGGCTGAAGATGGAGCTCTGCGTCAGCACCAGAACGAAGCAGGCGATGAACAGGCAGCCGTAGAAGTTGGAGCAGAACCCGGTGCTGATGGCGATGGAGAAGGGGATGGCGAGGACCCCGACGGCGATATCTGCCACCGCCAGGGACACCACGAAGAAGTTGGTGATGCTCTGCAGGTTGCTGTTGAGGCACACGGCCCAACAAACCAGAACATTTCCCAACACGGAGAACACGGCGATCAGCAGCTCCAGCACGATGTAGGAGGCGACGGTGAGTTCTTTAGACATCGTGAAGGAAAGGTCAAAGGTGAGGAGGGAGGAAGCCTCGCCTCAAACACCATCGCTGCAGCCGGGCGCCTCACCTCCACAAACATCCACCACCAAACTCCTGAGGAGAGAAACGTATTTACTCCTCACTGCACACTCATAGGGTCCAGATAGAATCCTCTGCTGTTCCTCCTCTCTTAAGTCCTCCCCGCTCACAGCCTTCTTCCCATGAACCTCTCGAGGGGCTGAGATGATGCCAACAATCACTGAGGCATCGTGACGCTGCAGAGACAAAGAGGAAACGCTGTTACACCATAGGAAGAGGATTTCAACAAGTTGTGTGGTTTTGAGAAGTCAAGTTCCTACAAAGAAAACTCCTTGAGCTCTTCCACGTTAAACTCTAAGTGACATCACTAGGTAACAGTTGTGCTCCTATTGGCTAGTGCTCCAACACACTGTACGTGATGAGGCTAATAGGCGGGACATCTCTAAGTGGTTGAGCAATCACAACAGAGCCAGCCAGCTAACCAATCAGAGCAGACTGGGCTCTGGTTTCAGACAGAGGGTGAAAAGAGGTGCTGCAGCACAGGCAGTATGAGAAAGATAAAAAGCTTTTTGAACATTAAAGCATGGAGACATGTAGAGACACTACATACTGATATACACCTGAACATCAGCAGGAGAGGACTCTTTAAAGTAGAGACACTACATACTGATATACACCTGAACATCAGCAGGAGAGGACTCTTTAAAGTAGAGACACTACATACTGATATACACCTGAACATCAGCAGGAGAGGACTCTTTAAAGTAGAGACACTACATACTGATATACACCTGAACATCAGCAGGAGAGGACTCTTTAAAGTAGAGACACTACATACTGATATACACCTGAACATCAGCAGGAGAGGACTCTTTAAAGTAGAGACACTACATACTGATATACACCTGAACATCAGCAGGAGAGGACTCTTTAAAGTAGAGACACTACATACTGATATACACCTGAACATCAGCAGGAGAGGACTCTTTAAAGTAGAGACACTACATACTGATATACACCTGAACATCATCAGGAGAGGACTCTTTAAAGTAGAGACACTACATACTGATATACACCTGAACATCAACAGGAGAGGACTCTTTAAAGTAGAGACACTACATACTGATATATACCTGAACATCAGCAGGAGAGGACTCTTTAAAGTAGAGACACTACATACTGATATACACCTGAACATCAGCAGGAGAGGACTCTTTAAAGTAGAGACACTACATACTGATATACACCTGAACATCAGCAGGAGAGGACTCTTTAAAGTAGAGACACTACATACTGATATACACCTGAACATCAGCAGGAGAGGACTCTTTAAAGTAGAGACACTACATACTGATATACACCTGAACATCAGCAGGAGAGGACTCTTTAAAGTAGAGACACTACATACTGATATACACCTGAACATCAGCAGGAGAGGACTCTTTAAAGTAGAGACACTACATACTGATATACACCTGAACATCAGCAGGAGAGGACTCTTTAAAGTAGAGACACTACATACTGATATACACCTGAACATCAGCAGGAGAGGACTCTTTAAAGTAGAGACACTACATACTGATATACACCTGAACATCAGCAGGAGAGGACTCTTTAAAGTAGAGACACTACATACTGATATACACCTGAACATCAGCAGGAGAGGACTCTTTAAAGTAGAGACACTACATACTGATATGAACCATTAAATGAGCATAATAGGCCCCTTTAATGTGACTTTGCTTTACTTGGAGAAGCGAAAGACACATTTGAAACTGATAAAGACAATAAATAAATCTAATCTAATCCAAAATAATAGGTTTTGCCCTTAATTGACAGGGAGATAGAGACAGATGTGATGAAGCAAAGGTCAACCTTCAGATCGCTTTTATTTCAAAGTAATTCCTGGAAAAACATCTATTCCCGACTCTTGAATAATTCTATCTGTGAGCCATCGGCCCTAAAAGGCTCAACAAACAGGAATCTGCTGTTTTTGAGTTGAATAATTCCCTCAGAGGGAATCTTTCTGGAGGTTACGTTGAGTTGTGTGAGATAACAGCTGCAGCCTCTGCTCTCTGAAGCAGGGTTCCCCCTCTGGGACGAAGAAACACTATTTATTAATAAAGAAAACGTGTTATTTCAAGGTTTTTAAATTCTATTTGACTCACAGATACAGTTTGTGTTGGTCTCTTTCCTCTGAAGTCAGGGTATTCATGTGTCTTGATGTCAGAGGGATGAGGTGTTGCATTGCAGTTTATTATAATGTATTAAGCAGCACAAAAAGAAATCCCAGAGGAGAGCGAGGGGAATAATAGATCTGTGAAATCTAGGAGGCTCCCATGCTATCAATGCATCCTGCAACAACAAGAACACACTACAAAACACTTGAAGGTCAAAAATGTGTTCTAGATAACTCCCAGGTGTAGGACTCTTCCCTTTAGACTAGGTTTGGTTCATCCCAAGAAATAGTCTTTATAGGAATAGGAAAATAAATAAATATATATTAGTGCTGGGCAACAATTAAAATGTTTAATCGCGATTAATCGCATGATTTTCTGCGATTAATTGCAATTACCAGTTATTTTCTGTTTCGGTTCCATCTATCTATCTATCCATCCATCCATCCATCCACCCACCCACCTATCTATCCATCCATCCATCCACCCACCCACCTATCTATCCATCCATCCATCCATCCATCCATCCATCCATCCACCTATCTATCTATCTATCTATCCATCCATCCATCCATCCATCCACCTACCTACCTACCTACCTATCTATCTATCTATCCATCCACCCACCCACCCACCCACCCACCTACCTACCTACCTACCTATCTATCCATCCACCCACCCACCTATCTATCCATCCATCCATCCACCCACCCACCTATCCATCCATCCATCCATCCATCCATCCATCCATCCACCTACCTACCTACCTATCCATCCACCCACCCACCTACCTATCTATCTATCTATCTATCTATCCATCCACCCACCCACCTACCTATCTATCTATCTATCTATCTATCCATCCATCCATCCACCTACTGTACCTACCTACCTTTACTTTACCTATGTAAAAACAAAGCTGTCTGTGCCGTCTGACGCTCTATTTGACACCATTCTCATATTTCTAGAGTAATTATACAGTTCTTGACCAACAGAAATATTGTTCTCTGGCATCACTTTAACTTTTTATGGGGAAAATCTGCATTTTGGTATGACGTTCCTCTTAAACTCTTCTTAAAAGACCTTCTCTCTACTTCCAGGATCTTGTGCTAACTATAAAAAAAGGTCAATAACTCCTTCTTCTTCTCTTTACTAACGACTCTTTTTACCAAGAAGTTTTATAAGTGCGGCTCCAGAGATAAGTGTAACAGTGAGGTCTCTTTATAAGGATTTGATCACACTAGCACCCACAGGACACGCTCAGAAAATACATGTAAGGGTATCTTTATACTTGCATTTATTAATTATCTTTGCTTCATCATGTCCTGCCCATGGATGTATAATAAGAACTGGATACAGCGTGGGAGGCGGGGCCTCATTCATTCCTATGAGAGTTGCTCATTCGCGCATGATGATAAAATGGCCCAACTTTTGAGAGAGCGAAACGTCACAGATTACCCGGCATGCCTGAGAAGTACCCGTATGTGCGCTCATAGCGCATGCGCAACTTTAACCATGCCCCCCAAAATGCTCGTTCACATCAAGCACGTCAATTTGCGTACACGTAACAGCACCGCACGTTCATGACAGCATGGTAATGTTTGTTATGATAGATTTGATATTAACGAGGCTGCAGTTAGCAGCTAGCGGTTAGCTAGTAATTATGCTAATTTACACATCAATCGTTATGTACTTTTATATTACGCTGTAACAGGATCTAGTGATATCCAAGCAACAGAGCTTCATTTAGCATGAAATAATTATTGCACTGTATATATATATATATATATATATATATATATATATATATATATATATATATATATATATATATATATATATACACACACAGTGCAATAAGCTTCTTAGTGCAATAAGAAGCTACAGGGACGTTAATCTACGTCGGTAATATTAACTTTATTTAATACAACATTTACGGTACAAGATTTAATCATACAGCCCATGTAGTATAATATTTTACAAATGATGAATTACAGCAAACATGTGCAATATATCCATTATTACAGCTCCGTGGGCTGGCAGTAAGGCGATATGGGTCCGTTCTTATTGTGCATCCATGGGTAAAGATAAACGCATGTAGTGCTGAACACGTAACATGAACGTGCCGGGCGGCGCGGTCCCGTGGGTTAGATGCGCGTTCATAATGCAGAGGGAAATAACTCTCAGAATAACGTTATTAGCACATTTTACAACTTGAGGAACGAATGTTTTTAATAAGGGCTATACAAGTGTTCATACTGGGTAGTTTATTTAGTTTAAAAAAAAATTATCCAACGATTTACAGACCACTCTTTCCCCATGTAAGTCAATGGGAAAAAGTGTTTCCGGGCCTGGCAACCAAAAGGAAGTGTAGTACCGCCGTTTGGCCAGCACGAATATTTTCATCAGAGTCCGGCGCACTTCCTGGGGGCTTGGTCCTGCCCTGCAGAGGAAGTGAAGAGGAACACACGTCACACCTCTCAGCTTCCTGTCAGCTCTACAGAGGATCTCTGATGATAAGAGTCTGCTATCGCTGCAGTTTTAGAGATTTGTAAATTGAATTTCTCTAAAACAAGACAAAAATAAGTGGAATTGAGAATGAGATCCACAAAAACAAGAATCAAAGGACAGAGATTTGGGCGATTGCAACTTCAAAGTCTATATAGGGCAGAACAACTCGACTTGTGTAAACGTTTTCAGAGAAGTGCGATCTGTGTTACCAATAATTACTTCCCCCTTTTTTATTGCACACCATGACAGCCGACACTCCTGCAGTGAAGTTTCATTTCTGCAGTGAGGTGCATTTAGCTCCCTGGGTTAAATTATCACTTTTTAAAATAATAATTTGTTTAAAATGTTCTTAAAACATTGTGCACAAAGAGGATTTTAGCCTTTGCAGACAATTTACATGCACTGAAACATAACACACTACAGAAAAGAGAAAAAAACCCAAAAACACAATAGGGCCTCTTTAATATTTTTACACTTTGAACAGAAAACATATGGACCCTGTTTGTTAGCTGTTAGCAGTTAGCTGTTAGCTCGTTAACCAGTTATTCATGACGTTAACATTGTTAGCTTAATGTTTCTTAAGGACACAGACCTATAAACCCACTGTTTACTTTGCATTGTTATTTATTACTCAAACAAACTACAAGTACCTCAGATGTGTACTTAATCGCTGGACATGAGTAAATATACTCAGTGGCTGTCAGACCTGTCAGTCCAGTTAGTATCTAAGCTAACTCTCATAATACATGAAATAAATAAATCAGAAAATGCAAAGAAATTAAGGAAATATTTGAAGAAGTAACAAATAAAAGAAATTTGGAAATATGAATACAAAAATAATAAACAAAATGTGTGGAAATTAAAAAACGAAATCAAACAATAGAAACAACAATTTGTATTTTTATTACTACATTTTATTTTCCAATTTTTGTGTTTATTTTTATATTATTATTTGATTTAATTATACATTTTTTGTATTTAATATGTATTTACATAAAATCATTGTTATATCTTGTCACGATTTTGCTTGGCTTTCCTCTATTATCTGATTCCTCTTTATATATCCTTCGTTGTTAATTTGCGTATTTATTATTCTATGCAAACCACTTGATATTTCCACATGAATCTCCTTATTTGTTTACAGATCATTATTCTTTTATCGGCACTCTTATGACTCCATACACACGGAGCTCTACACGCTGTCTGCCACATGGACGTTATTTATCATATTTCAATCATATGCATGTATCACAAGCTCATATATGATGCATAATAGAGTAAAAACACTCTTATTTTATGAAACATTTAAGTTGTGATCGATTCAAATGACTCACCTTTCTCACAAAGTAGATTTCCGACACTGATCAGGTGTTAAAACACGTCCGACACTTTCCAAATATCGACAAATGAAACTTGAAGAAACCAAAAACACGGTGAAAGTCTGCTGCACGCGGAGAGAGATAACAGCGATACTCGAGAGAGACTGAAGACAGATGAGAGGAGCGCTATCTGACACACACACACACACACACACACACACACACACACACACACACACACACACACACACACACACACACACACACACACACACACACACACACTTCTGCAGGGGGCGGGGCAGTTTACTGAGTATTATATCTGTCGATGGCACACGCTAAACCGCAGTGTTATAAACCTGAGGCAAATTAAATAATAAAGTTTATATTAAAAATAAAATATTACACTTGATGACAAGTAGCCAGTTATTACTGTTTCAAAATAATATTTAAAATAATACATATATCATGAACAATATCAACACAACATATACAAACATACTAATGAATAATAAATACAATAAGAAGATAGATAATAAATGAGGCTCACCTTTTTGACGGGTCTTTGATTCCTTTTACAAAAATATTTAAACAGAATTTTTACCAGATTTCAATAACTATACTGAACCAGAGGTTGGAGAAGTACTTAAGTCTTGTACTTGAGTAAAAGTAGAAGTACTCAGATCTTGTATTTGAGTAAAAGTAGAAGTACTCAGATCTTGTATTTAAAGTTAAAGCCTTTTGTCATTGGACACAGAGTACAAGTAGAAGTACGCAGATCTTATATTTGAGTACAAATAGAAGTACTCAGATCTTGTATTTGAGTGAAAGTAGAAGTACGCAGATCTTATATTTGAGTAAAAGTACTCAGATCTTGTACTTGAGTAAAAGTAGAATTACTCAGGTCTTGTACTTGAGTAAAAGTAGAATTACTCAGGTCTTGTACTTGAGTAAAAGTAGAAGTACTCAGATTTTGTACTTGAGTAAAAGTAGAAGTAGTAATATCTTGTACTTGAGTAAAAGTAGAAGTACTCAGATCCTGTACTTGAGTAAAAGTAGAATTACTCAGGTCTTGTACTTGAGTAAAAGTAGAAGTACCAGAGTGTATGAATACTCTGTTACAGTAAAAGTCCTGCATTCAAAATGTTCCTCAAGTAAAAGTAGAAAAGTATTATCATCAAAATAAAGTGAAAGTACTGACAGTAAAAGTAGTCATTGTGCAGATTGGTCCATTTCAGAATTATATATATGATATGTTTTATAATGATTGATCATGAAAGTGTTCTCAAAGCTGGTAAAGGTGCAGCTGTACTCGACACTATTCAAATGTAGCATTTGTATACTTAAACACATTTGGTTTATTGGATCAAGGCAGCGTTGTGTTACTGTAATACAAAACATATCGTGAAAACCTTTTAAATAATAACTGTAAACTATATTAATTGTTTATTTGTGCACACATGTGGAAAAAAAACGTAGTTCCTGAATTATAGCATTAATAATTTAAAGTATTACAATTAATTTTGAGGTATTTTATGCTCTGGTTTTACTGATTTTAACAAACAATGATTACCAGAGAAATAATTAGCAGATATTTGCAGTCCAACACAATAAGCTCCACAATAACCAACTGCGACAGTAAAATGTCCTTTTGCATTAATGCAAGTAATAATACGCTCAAAATATAATACAAATAATAGTAAAACAGTCAGAGGTATGCTGTGACGACACAAACGACAACACGAGGCTGTTTTCATTTTTCTTTTATAACTATTGCCAAAGAATAAAGCAACATAAAAACACACATCGTTTTTCTTTACAACTGATTATCATCGTAGTGTGCACTTAATACTGTAGCTTAGTCCCTTTACACACACACACACACACACACACACATTTACACACACACACTTATTCATTCAGCTTTGCTAAAGGGACCATTTCACTGCATGTAGTGTGATCAGGAAAATATATATAATTCACACCAAAAAACAAACACAAAAAGGCAACATTGGAAACTAAAGCAGGTTCAGTGGATCAGAGCATTTTCAAGTAAAGACAAAATAAATGTGATGGACCCTTTAAAAAAAGACATGTTTTTAGCTCGTTGTGCTAACGCTACGTGTTCCTCGTGGCTCTGTGTGAACGTGGAATGAGATTCTTTTAGCGTTCGTCTCCTAAAATGTCGTTAATCACTCCCGCTGCACCTCGTAAAGTCCTTAAAGTCCTGCAGAAACACATTCCCAGCATGCAGAGGCTTCAAATGTGTCAGGGTTTTCAGCAGGGAGCGATAACACACACAGAAAAACAGTTGGATGCTAACCCCTTAGCATTATGGCACCACAATTTAATGACTACTCCATACAGGAAATGAACGTTGTTTTTGATCAATTCCTCACGCTGTGTTACCTTGACATACTGAGATGTTTAACTTGCATGCTTCCACGGTTAAAGAATATTATAAAAACTGAAGTTAACTCGTTTATCCAGTCGTAGTCTCACTGCTTTACTAACACATGCCCTTTTCCTTAAAGTCTCACATTATTGCAGGTGTTTGAAATGTGATGGTTTTAGTAATACCGTTTGTTTAACAGGCATTCAACTAAATATGCAGGGTGTTTTTTTGATTTCATTGGGCGTTTCCCCCCCTCGTTAGATTCAATGCATCGACTTTTCTCAGTTTTCTGATTCCTTGTTCAACGTGGAGGCAATTTCAAGGTAACACGAGTCCGAAACCGATATCTAAATGAGTCATTTTCTGGGTAATGTACAGCTTAGAAGATCATTTTGTGAGTTTCAAGGGTAATAACTTCAGTTTTTTTCAATGTGGAACCCATTTTTGAAATGTTTGTGAACTTTTACTTTGAAATGTTGCACCAATCATTTGTGGACGAAGCCAATTTCTGTGAGAAATGTATGTATTAATGGTCATATTGTCACTTAGAAGCCTATTTCTTAAAATGTTAAGGGTAATAACTTAGGTATTGTTCAACATTGAGCACATTTGTTCACTGTTTGTGTCCAATGGGAACTTATTTTGAAATGTTTCAGTATTGAGCAAGAAAAACACACATTTCTCTAAGAATTCAAGGTTTCACGAGAGGGAAACTGATGTATTAATGCTCATATTGTCACTTAGAAGCCTATTTTCAGAGTTTTAGGGGTAATAACTTGGGTATTGTTCAACATGTACCCCATTTTCTCAATGTTTTAGTGTCTAATAGGAACTTTTTACTTTGAAACGTTTGCAGGATGAGCGAGACGCTGCAACGTACATCATTCTGAGGGTGAATTATTCCTATTAAATGTCACGAACACCTGCCGCTCTCCTGCACAGAGGGTATAAAGTGTTGCAGATGCACACGGTGTGAAGACGTGGCGTAGTACAGAGCAGGATGTGCTTCTAAATCGAGACAAATATGTAGTTTCTGTACCTATTGATACCAGCTGGGGTGGTTTTTTTACAAAGAAAGTATTTCCCTTGTCTGCCGAGAACAGATACGCCGAGAACAGATACACGGTTTGAAGGCTGAGTGTTAAGGCAGGAAGTTAGTGTCGGATATAACAATAAAAAGCTTATCTCAGTGTAATAAATTCACACACACACACACACACACACACATAAAGCCTCACTACAATGACTGGAAACAATGCAAATAAATACAGTGAACGTGGCAAGAAGAGGCACGAGAAGCACAGTCTGACAGCATCACATGGTGCTTTAAACCCCCTTATTTTAGCATTTTAAAGCACTTTATGAATATTTTATAATAGGGCTGCAGCTACCGCTTATTTTCAATTACAATGAATTGCATTTTGCTTTCTAAAGGCGTTGTTTAGTGTATAAAATGTCAGAAAATTGCGAATAAGTGTTGAAATGCATAGTTTTTTCAGTCAGAAATCCACATTATTTCTCATTACTATGATAAGAAACAGAAAAAAAACATATTTGAGAAGCTAATTTAAATATGTTCTGACATTTTTGCATGAAAAACAACTCAAATATCAAATTAAATGCCAATAATTGTTCCTATCAATCGATTAGCAAGTGCAGCTGTGGTTTATAACTCACTATAAAGTGATTATGAATGCATGTCTATCACTATAACTCCTCCTGTGGACACCCATATGAAGATAATGAAGTGAAACACAGCGACTATAATAATGTTACATAAGTATTGATAGAAGTTATAATATTTGACATCAAAAATGTCCTTAAAGCTGCTTATAACTACAATAAAATGTGTTAACGCGTTATAAACTGCTTATATGGGGATTTAAAGTGATATACATTAATATTGCTGACATTCTGTGCTTTAAAAAGTATTTCTATAGTAATGTTTAGTGATACTAGGAATTTCAAAAACAACCTTTCTAACACAGCACCGTCATTATCACACAATGTAAGTCAATGGCACAATGAATTGTTTGAACTTTTGTGCTAAAAGCGTATGGTTTGGCAACGCTTTCGGAACAATTTGACCTGTTGGGAGATGCGCTTGTTCTTATCGAGGGTCAGATGACGAATTGAAACCACTCGGAAGTGGTTTCATTTTTAACAGTTAACCGTCTGCAAGAATGGGAATTTCCCAGCAAGTTGAATGACTCTTTTCATGAGACGAAGCGTTTGCACGAACCACCAGCTTCTTTCCAAACACTTGAGCACACTTTTCTCAACATGAGGTTCATTATTAGAGAGGTTTTTTTCAAATCAGACCCTCAGGCTCAGAGAAACAGGGTCACTTTTCAACATGTTTTTGTGTCAAAGTAAACAGCAATTATTAATAGTGTATCGTATAGAAAATCTGCAAAGGACGTCCACTAAAAGTTTGTTTTGGCTCGGATTAATATAATAAATGCCTGACAAATGAATGTATAGTATTAGTATGCTTATATGGAGCTACAGCCAGTCGCTAGTTGGCTTAGCTTAGCATAAAGACTGGACTGATTCTGTCCAAATGTACAAACAGATCAGTCTACCTTCCCCCCTTAAACTCCCTAACTTGGGGTTTTTAGTGACACTAGATGTTTGTACAAAACCTAGTGACAAATGATTTCATTGACTTCACATGCAATTTGAGACTCGAGGAAGCGGCTAATCGGGACAATAAGTTAGAAATATGTGGAGTTTTAAGAGAGAAATGTACATATTTTTGTCAAAGTACACGTTTGTTTTAACCACTGATATCTGAAGGATCTGATGTGGGACTTCAGGGAGAGACTAGGAGAGCAGATCAAGGTAAAAAGATAAAGAAATACGTTTAATGTCTCTCTATAATACTGTCAGACACTTGTATAATCAATGTACGTTTGCGGGGGGGTAAAACAAACTTTTAGTGGATCGACTTTGGCAAAATGTAAAGAAAAGTCCCAATTTGACACAAAAACTGGTAAAAAAAAATCCCCTTAAGTTTCTCTGATCTAAACAGAACTTAAAAAAAAACACATTTTTATCAAAAGACTAAATACTACTCACTCATATTTTGGTTACGATGAAACGATGCTGTGTGTGCCCAATGGAATAAGTGCAGGAATGTAAATGCAAACACACACATCAGCCATTATCTCCATACACTGTTGAGAAATGATATGTAAGTGGAAAAGAAACCTACAAAGAGTGTGTTAGTGCCGCTTAATACAATGTGTAGTGGTGTTGTGAAACGTAGCATATTTTCTGTGCTTGAAATGACCAACACGTCAGAAATCGACACTCAAAAAGGCTCCGAATACATATTTGGCAACGACTCCTCAAATCTTCATCTTCACAAACTGAAGACAAGAATTATCTCCTGCATCAAAACTCACGCAGGCACTTTGTCCGTTTTGAAAAGGGAAAACAAGGCAGCTCAAATGTAACGGTGACGTCTGGAAGACTCGGTGCAAAAAGGCTGAAATCAATTCCTGTTCGAAGGGCGTTTCGGGGGAATTCAAACATCACTGACTTTGACTTAGATTCTCTGTAGAAGACAGGGGTTTTCACTCAATATCCACATGCAAAAAACTGAAGAAATGCTGGACAATGATGTTCCACTTTTACCCAGAACATGAGAACATCTTCTGACTTCCCTATTTGGGGTTTTAGCAGCTTTCGTACTTGTATACACCACATCCGGAATATGCATCCATGTGTTTCACCGCAGTGCATTAGCTCTGACTCAGTATTAGAAACTGAAGTATTCAAAGCGCACATCTCTTCTTGGAAGTAGCCACACAGCCAAATTTTAAACATTATCAAAAACTTGGATATGAACTAGTTTTGGTGCACGAAAGCTTTTCAAAAAGTGGGATGAAGGAATGGAGAAGGAAGCCGTCTCTCACGTTGGAAGATGTGAAAATATAAGTCAATGCGAGTATGCCGTGTGCATGTAGAGGGTTATATTAGTGGAGTATTAGCCGTGTAAAGTGCTACAATTGAATATTTCTAATAGGGGAATCATTTGAGTGCCCTGAAAAGTCAGTTTTGCAGGAATTCCCCCGAACACCCCGAGAAATCTGTTGTAGAAAGAAAAAAAAAGGCACTGAGTTTGTGTTTGATGCTCCTTGAGACGTGATTTCTGGATCTCATCGTCAGAGTGACTGTAACAGCAGGAGAGATCGACGCTTAATACTGAGGACCACATGCAGCATGGTGTGTGTGTGTGTGTGTGTGAGAGCGTAGGTGGCGAGGTATTACAGTTGCTGGGAGCTCAGGAGGGCTGGCGTGGCTCTGGTTGTGCTGCAGGAGCAGTAGAGTCTCAGGTCTCAAAGTACTTGTAGATGGCGGTGACGTAGGTCATGACGCTCTGCCAGTCGGGACGCTCCGTGTGCACCATCTCATTCAAGTCCTGCAGCGGGGGAACAACACAGTCTGTTTGTTATCTTGCAATTAATGACATTAATGCACACAATGTACATGTATTTTATTATATGTATATGTACACTGTAGCCTTGTGCATATGACAATAAAACCTTTGCATTTGAATCTTGAATATCCGTTTTTTTTTTTATTACTGCCGAATTTTATTCCATTTCAATGTAAATACTGCTATAATTTACTATATTTTTAATATTATTATAGTGTTCTTAAAATAGTTCTCCATCTGTGTTTTTCATTTTTGTTTTACTTTGATATATGCACCACGACATCAAGACAAATTCCTCGTACGTGTGAACTTACCTGGTGATAAACCTGTTTCTGATTCACTTATTTATCTGAATAGTTATCACTGTAATAAACCGTACTTCATTTTGTCTTACTGTACAATATTTAATTTTACATTCTGTTCTTGTATATATCATATTCTATTACGTGCAAATAGACTTCTTACAAAATGTTGTATTTGTATTTTATTATATATAAGTTAAAGGTGGGATAGGTAAGTTTGAGAAACCAGCTCGAGTGCGCTAGAATTTGAAAATACACAACCGGAGAAAATCTGCCACTTCCTTACAGAGCCCCTCCTCCAACACACACGAACGCGCACATGACCAATGAGGGCACGAGATAAGTTTGTGCACAGATGGAAGGCTGACAGGCAGGTAGGCCATCCAGTTATTTTAGCCGGGCCGGCTCAGATGATTGGTCGTGCTTTTTACAGTATTACGGCTTCCACAGATGACCTTTTTTAATGGATTTTTTGTCAAAGCACTTCAGATATTCATTGCTATCGGGATGTTAAGAGCATTCCATGGAATATAACAAAAAGTGTATCTCGAGCCGGTTTCTCAAACTTACCTACCCTACCTTTAACTGTCTTTTTTTTTTCTTTTTTAAATGTATTTATTCTTTACCGACTCATTTTGTCCTTACATGTACTTTGTAATGTAAGGTTGGTAAAATCATCTTATTGCACAGTCTGACATTTTCTTATATATCATAACCCTTTTTTTGGTTTAAATTTAGTTGCATAGTCAAAATATATCAAAACTCAAGATTTTGTTTTCCAGTTTTTTGGTTTGTGATCGATTCCACCAAATAGATATATCTGAGCATCATTTCATACACGTATCCCAACATGTGGAGTCTCCTGAGACTTTATGATCTCCACCAGAGTTTTAAATAAAGTTCAGAGGGTTCAAAGGATGCCTCGCTGCACAGCTCGGGGTTTGAAAGGGACTGATTTATGAGGTTTGAGAGATAAAAAGCCGAACTAGAGACGTCAAGGTGTAGTACTGCGTAACATGCTGCAGTTCATCTCTGGTTAATGATTGTCATGAGTTTGTTTGAATGTGTTTACATTATGACGGAGATCAGAACGAAGGATGACCCTAAAAAAGGGCAAAGAGGAAAGAGAGCAACGCACAGATACATGTTTTTGAACGCATTCCTCGCCATACATGATGTCCTGACTAAGGCATTTCATCTGAGCTGAAGTCGTGTCTGTGATTTTTCTATATTCTTTATTTACGCTAGAAGTAATTAAGATGTTTAACTAATATTTATTTTTATTTAAATGTATTTATTTGAACCCTCTTTTCCTCAAAACCCAGCTTTAAAAAAAGGCATTATTTCAGTTTTTTTCATGTTTTGTTTTTAAAAAAAAATTTCAATATAGGCACTTTGGTCAAATAGATTTAAATAGAATAAATTATATAAATATAAAAAAGACATGCCATACGTTTGCCTCAAATCCAAAGGCAGTTTTTTTTATATGAGAACAAATATATATTATTTATTACATATTTAGAAAGAGATAAAATATATATTTAATTTAAAAAGTAAAAATGTGACAGTGCTTATGTGACCCGTTCATCATACCATCATTTTAAAATATATTGGTAACACTTGCAGACTCTTGTGAAAAAGACTGCAAATATAGATTCATTTTGTCAATTTTTTTGTAAAATAGGATAATTTAAATAAGTAAAGAAATTGCCATAAAAACATTTATATTCATGGCCTTAAAACTGCTTAAGATCTCCCTTCTTCCAGCTACGATTGTGCCGTTCCCACAGAGGTCCAAGATGAATATACTATCAGTTAAATATGACAGGAGCAGACCCTGAACTTGCCAAGAAACAGAAGTGATTTGATTTGGATATTGAACTCACCAAAGTGCATTTGATGCCCACGCTCTCTGCAGCCTGGAAGGCTAAGGTGAAGTTTCTCCTCTGAGGGAAGAAGAGTCAAAAGTCACAATAAGTGGATTTAGATTTCTAATAAAATGATATGTGGACAATCTGCTACCCTGGAAAGACCCCACTGAGTATATCTGGAAAAGGAGTGGACAAAGATTTAGTGATTTCCGCTGCTTGAGCTTATTTACGGGCGGGTAGACCATTTCCTCTGGTTTTTCACACCTATGATTGCGAGTGTTCCTACAGTATTGCCATTCCCCATGGTGCCAGCGTTAGTCCCCTGCTTTAAAGTCTAAACACTAAATGTGAATCATAAGAAAGATTGCAGGTCAGCCCTTTCAGAAACTGTGGATCATAAGAAGAGCAAGTATGAAATGTTAACATGAAATCGGAGGTACAGGGTGCCACGATTTGATAAGCTAAGACTACAGTCAATCCTAAAATTAAATGTACGTTAAAAGGGATTTGAACACATCGTCTTCCGTGATTGAAATGTTAAGTTAACTATTTGTTTCCTTGGAATAACAGATTCATCAAAACCATGCAGAAAATAGATAGTTCAAAAACAACATTGTAAATACAGTAGGTGCTAAAAACGGTGTTGTATATGTTAAATAGTGGTGTTGTCCTGGCTGCTGAGCTCCTGGTTTAATACAGAATGTAATCCCAAATCAAATCCACACTTAAGGGTATGGAACATATTGTCTTCAGTGATTGTATTGTCACGTTAAATGTCTGTTTCCTTGTGTCTTTGTGTTGCAAATGGAGCTGCCACGATACAAGGAAATGGTCAGACTGGCACTAAAGCATCAAAGTATCATATCATGCATGTTAAATAGCGGTGTGGTCTTGCCTTGTCCTGGCTGCTGAGCTCCTGGTAGGGGATGTGAGCCGGCAGGTAGGTGTGCAGCACGGCGCAGAAAGCCAGCCCGTCGTTCCAGCTGCTGCTGAAGTTCGTGATGTCAATTTTCTGAGAAAAAACAACAACAACAAAAAACAATGATTAGGAATGGGGGAAACAAAAAGGATCGATTGTCTAAATCACAAGAAACAAGGTTCAAATCACAAAAAAGGGACTGGTAAATCTTTGTATAAAATGTCTATACATGTTTGATCTAAATATAAAAGTATGACGTAGGTAAAGTAGATAAAATATAGCTGACAGAATTAAGACCTTCTTGAACCTTCTCACACTAACCCTGTAACAGTATTAAAGTTTGCTACTTATATATATCAATATTCCAATTACTTGTATAGATGAGAGTAACACCTACGTCACTTCCGGGCGAAAATTATGGCCCCGCCCACTTTTGGGGGAAAACAAAGCTGTCATTTGAATGGCGGTCAATACAAATTCTGAAGTTTTTGCCAATCCGATCAGACATTTAAGAAAACTGTGAATTTTTGGATCTTCAAAGAGCCCGGTTACGATGGCCAGACAGGCAAACAATTACATTCAATCATTTGAAATCGACAACCGGGCTCGATATATGGTTAAATTGAAATCAGTAGGCGAGGCTGTAATTTCGCCAGCTGTTACTCTCCTGAGCGAGGCGGAAAATAATTGTGTTATCATGCCAACAAGCTGCTGTGTTGTTTATTGCTCCTCAAACGTTAAAACAAATCCAGAGTTCAGTGTTTCTGTACTTCCTCTAAGAAGAAAGGACAGTAACAGAAGAGCTCTGTGGCTTCAGGCTCGATCGCCATTCAAATGACAGCGTTGGTTGGTTTCTCCCAAAAGTGGGCGGGGCCATAAAGTGACGTAGATGTTACTCTCATCTATGGACATCGAACGCCTACTGCTATATTTAACCATATATCGAGCCCGATCGTCGATTTCCAATGATTTAATGTAATTGTTTGCCTGTCTGATGTCTGATCGAATTGGCAAAAACTTCAGAATTTGTATTGACCGCCACTCAAATGACAGCTTTGTTTTCCCCCAAAAGTGGGCGGAGCCGTACTTTTTGCCCGGAAGTGACGCATGTGTTACTCTCATGTATATAGACTAGGGCTGTCAAGTTAACGCGTTAATAACGCGTTAACGCAAAAAAAAATTAACGCCACTAATTATTTTAACGCGATTAACGCATGTGTATTTTTTGTCCTCGGCCGCCGTAGTTTCAGAGCGCATGGAGTTTAAAATACCATCGACAAGCTGATGCTGACAGCCCCGCTCCTACCGCCCGCTTGTGGCAGACCACACTTCCACGCTCACTGGCAGGCCCGGACTGGCCATCGGGAGGACCGGGAGGGAGTGTGTATGTGTGGTGCGACTCGCGCGAGCGAGGCACACCTTACGTGTTGTTAGCATCTGGTGCTAGCTAGCTGCGCTAACGGATATAAGGAGCTGTTTCAATGACATTTCGCCGACAACTGCGCCGAGCACTTGACTTTATGCAGGTAGCCAGACAGTGGGACATTGTACGAAAAGTCAGCACACTCAGCACGGATAGTGCGCGCAACATGATTGCAGCGTCCAGGCAGCTCCCGTTGGAGCATATATGCCTTGAGCTGCACATAGCTCCTCCAACGATCCTACACAGTGTACATGTACACACGTGTGTGTGTGCGCACGCACACACACACACACACACACACACACACACACACACACACACACACACACACAGCACACACACACACACACACACACACACACACACACACACACACACACACACACACACACACACACACACCACACACACACACACACACACACACACACACACACACACATCACACACACACACACACACACACACACACACACACACACACACACACACACACACACACACACACACACACACACCACACACACACACACACACACACACACACACACACACACACACACACACACACACACACACACACACACACACACACACACACACACACACACACACACACACACACACACACCACACACACACACACACACACACACACACACACACACACACACACACACACACACACACACACACACACACACAACACACACACACACACACACAGTATGAGAGATGTTCCAGGTTGAATTGAGTTGAATATTTGTAATGTTCAGAGGTTGTTGTGTTTAATATTCATGAGAATATTTGTCATTGTTCAAATGATAATAAACAAACATATAAAGCATAGTTGTCCACTCATATGTTGATAAGAGTATTAAAAACTTGAAAGATATCCCTCTAAGGTACATTTAGAACAGATAAAAAATGTGCGATTAATTTGCGATTAATCGCGATTAAATATTTTAATCGACTGACAGCCCTAATATAGACTATTCTGAACTGTTTCTATTAAGTTCTATTTTATTGTATTTACTTGCACTATTTGATCTGTTTTATTGTGCTGCACGGTTGGAGGAGCCTGTGACCTAATTGTCATATCTACACTGTAGCCATGCACACATGACCATAAAAGCCTTGAATCTAGTATTGACAGAGGCATAAATTGCGTCCTTAAACCCCCCTCTTCTCCTCAGCGTTCTGCACTTTGTAGATTGGTATATTGTTTTTACTAAACTGCTGTTATTTTGATTCTGGTTTATTTTGTGTTCTTACCATTATTTGTTTTTGTTTTGTGAGCTGCACTGTGGGAGTTTGTATTTCTCCGTACAGCACTTTGGTCTGGAGGTTTTAAAAAGGGATTTAGAAATAAAGTTGGATTGATTTCCTTTTCATGCGTAACCCTACAAATGCTATTTATAGAATTAAAAAGAGTATTTGTGGAAGTCTAGCACAAATAAATGTAAATAAACCTTTTTCTCATCTTTATCTTTTACCTGTTTACATGAACTAAAATAACTCCATGATCGAATAGTGAGAAAAGAATCTCACCTGAAACACTTCTAAGTACAGTCCATTTACACTTAAAGACGACATTTACGATCCAGAGAAAAATATATAAATCAGGTCAATATAATGTCCCGCGGTGCTTCGGCTGTGAAACACCGTGTGACATTATATTGACCTGATTTATATATTTTTTCAACAGTAAAATGACGTCAATGAATCCAGCTTTAATGGTACTATTAAAAAGAAAATTGATTTCTTTGGGGTGTATTTTCTGATTTATGGAGTCAACAAAGAGATATCCCTCTGTAGAAACCATTAGGCGCTTTCACACCGGAGTACTTTTCACAGGAATAATTCCGATAGTTCCTGGGATTTTGCGTTCACACCAAAAAGATCTGGAACTAGAACTTTTTTTTGCTAACCTTTTCCCCCCTTTTCAGTCTCTGCTAGAGAGGTGGGACTTTCCTGGGGAGAAAAAGGTTCCAATTTCTGATTGGCTGGGCGAATTGCAAACCACGCCCCGTAAAACTCCCAAAAAGTTGTGTGAAGCCGCCATTTTATTTGCTCGCATTAGCATTATTAGCATTAGCCCAACGCACCAACGGAGAGAGACTAACTTATGGCAACACAAAATAAAACGTGGGAGCGGTGGAGATGAGGAGGTGTCGGCGCTTCTGGCGATTTTCCCGGGACTTCGGTTGGCAGTATACGCCGTGAAGTTGTTTGCGGGCTGCCAGTAAACCCAGAGCAGAAGAAGAAGAAGTGACGTCAGCGGCTTCATTTGCGTAATCCTCCCTCAGGGACTTATTCCGGTGTGAACTTTACTAGGACAGTTCCGGGACTAAAGAGTTCGGCGGGACTAAGTACCGGGGGACTAAGTACGGCAAAGTACTTGGTGTGAAATCAGCTATTGACTCTAATATGTCAACAAAAGGAAACAAGGATTTTGAACCTGGCTTTATCTAATGTTTAGACACACTGTGCATTTTACATTTAATGTAATATTCCATTCCCTACACTCTTAATGTAAATCATACCCTGCTTTATATTGTGACTAAAGCCCTTCAATAGTGTTTAATTGTCAAAGTTTATAGATTTCTTTTTATCTTCACCATCTACTGTATACTTACTACTTTTCAATAACATTTTAATTCTATTTTGAGATGTTTAAATTCTAGTAGTGTTTGTTTCTAATCTTTAATTACTTATGTGCAATGCCTTGTTTTGTTTTTGCAAGCATTTCCCAATTTGGGATCAATAAAGTACCTCTTATCTTATATTTCTGTACTTCAAATGACAGCTTTGTTTTCCCCCAAAAGTGGGCGGAGCCGTACTTTTTGCCCGGAAGTGACGCATGTGTTACTCTCATGTCTATAGACTATTCTGAACTGTTTCTATTTTATCTGCTTTATTGTGCTGCACGGTTGGAGGAGCCTGTGACCTAATATGTTCATTGTCATATCTACACTGTAGCTATGCACACATGACCATAAAAGCCTTGAATCTAGTATTGACAGAAGCATGAATTGTGTCCTTAAACCCCCCTCTTCTCCTCAGCGTTCTGCACTTTGTAGATTGTTGCTTTTTAAATGGTACAGTACATTGTTTTTTACTAAACTGCTGTTATTTTGATTCTGGTTTATTTTGTGTTCTTACCATTATTTGTTTTTGTTTTGTGAGCTGCACTGTGGGAGTTTGTATTTCTCTGTACAGCACTTTGGTCTGGAGGTTTTAAAAGGGGATTTAGAAATAAAGTTGGATTGGATTTCCTTTTCATGCGCAAACCTACAAATGCTATTTATAGAATTAAAAAGAGTATTTGTGGAAGTCTAGCACAAATAAATGTAAATAAACCTTTTTCTAACCTTTTCCCCCTTTTCAGTCTCTGCTAGAGAGGTGGGACTTTCCTGGGGAGAAAAAGGTTCCAATTTCTGATTGGCTGGGCGAATTGCAAACCACGCCCCGTAAAACTCCCAAAAAGTTGTGTGAAGCCGCCATTTTATTGGCTCGCATTAGCATTATTAGCATTAGCCCAACGCACCAACGGAGAGAGACTAACTTATGGCAACACAAAATAAAACGTGGGAGTGGTGGAGATGAGGAGGTGTCGGCGCTTCTGGCGATTTCCCCGGGATTTTGTGAAGTTGTTTGCGGACTGCCA